GCCACCAACCCGTAACCCTTAACTATCTTACGTCTTTTGCTGCGTTTGTATTCATTTCTTCCAATTTACTGCATTTGTCTCCTAATAATTTATTCACCTTAATGGACTCGTGTTATCCCGCTCTTCACTCTCTCCTTCAGTTCCAGTAGACCGTTTCGATATGGAGGAGTCTGCACTTCCTCGTTGCTGACTTCTACTGCCAGTCCTAATACCAATCCGACCAATTTCTCGGCTGAGTGACTATTTCTCTGATTAATAAATTGGCTGCCTGACCAGCTGACAGAACCATAGCTAAATTGACTGATTCATTTGCTCGGTCCATTGAGTTCATACTTCCTTCTGCATTTTGCTCTTGTACCACATGATTGATGCTTGGTAATGTGAATAACACGGTAGAGTCGGGTAAATAATCATTTATTTTGAATTTGCTGCAACCAATCAGCTTAGGTATTACATAGTTCGTGTTAAAGCAAGAAAGTAGGAGAGGAGAGCTCTTGTAATGTCAGCAAAATACTGCATCCATCCATATTCTGTGAAATAGGAACAAAAATATGATTTGAACGAGATGTGATTGGTTTTCTCTTCAAATCATCCAAGAACACTAAAGTGAACTTGTTGATATTCTGCAGAATTTAATGCAAATGGAATTCAACTGGTCGTATTTAGAGACCGCATTTCGGTGTTCATCCAGGGATCGTGTTTTAGTGGTTCCTACTGTTTAATCACGAGTATTAGTGACAGTTGACTAGATGTAAGTTACGGTTACCATTATCTCAACATTTGTTTGATTGGATCACAAGATACTTAACTCTCTATGCGTCATGTGCGAGAGTGCGATAAATAAAAATTCTTCACACTCAAGCACGCAAGATGAAGTAGAGGAAGAGGGAAAGCATTGAATGCACTTCAGATTTAGCACTTATTTCACCTTTGGTAACACAAACCACAGGTTTTATCAATGTGCGCTTCAGTAGGGATGGTCATGCTCAAAAATTGTCTGTGTTACATTGCATCCATCATGCCCGAATTCTTTGTGACAGTAGAAGATAAAAGTGTGTCAGGAAGGTGGCGAGATATTCCGTGTGCTGCATTAAGATATAATGAATGACTGATTTAGTAAACAGACGCATTAATGTCATTCCACAAGGCAGAAATAGTTGCTTTGGAAGGGAAATTGTGGTATCTAAAGAGATAGTTTGTGCTGAATGCAGGAATAACTACATGTCCGAAATTTCCTATTAATCTACGCATATTTGAAATGAACTTATTATTTTGTCAGCACGAACAAACTTGTTTCCAGTGTTATTTATTAATGACCTGAAAACGCAATGAAATTTGTCGCATCCGCCAAGCTTACTGCGATTATAAATGGGAATTGGGAAAGTCTAGTGATAGTGAATCACCAAATGCACACTCCGTCGCATGTCCGCGTGCGTGGGAGTTGACATTTTGGCACCAACCTCGAAGCTGACTTGGCAACCTCCATCAGCCTGACAGGATACCCAATGCACACACCACATGTGCTGACCCTGTCGCCTTCTTCATTCAAGA